CCTGGAGAAAGTGGTGATGAGCTGCAGTCTTGAACCATTGCAGTTCTTGGCCGTCAATGTTGGGGCAGTGGGATTGGAGGAATTGCATGGGACCAGAGTTGGAGGACAGAGGGCTCATTGATGGTAGTATAGCTGGAAGAGATTTACATAGTTTATTTGCTTAAACACCAGTACCAGTATCTTATGGTCTGAGTGCTTCCCTGTATGTTAGCTCAGCTAACACATACCACAGTAATTGTGTTTTTGTTGAGACTGATGTCTTGAAAACAACACTATTTACATGGCTTTAAAGGCACATAGTCTGGGTTCTCTGCTTACAGGTGTTATTGTGCATTATATGTGCATAACTGAGCACATTATTTTCATTCCATTCCACTGAGAGAATTGTTTTTATTCATTTGTGGAATGTGGGCATCACTGGCTGGCCAGCATTTGTCGCCTGTCCTTAGTTGCCCTTGAAGAGACTTTATAGTGACTGAATGCCATGCTAGGCCATGTCAGAGGGCAATTGAGAGTCAACCACATGGTGTGGTTCTGGAGTCACATGTAGGCCAAGTCCAGATGAGGATGGCTGATTTCCTTCCCTGAAGGACAATAGCGAACCAGATGGGGGACATTTTAGGTTTTTAGGAAAATTGACAATGGTTTCATGGTCATCAGTAGATTTCTTAATTCCTGAAATTTTAAAAAATTGGATCCAAATTCCACCATCTGCTGCGGTGGGATTCGAACTTGGGTCCCCGGAACATTACCTGAGTTTCTGGAGTAATAGTCTAGTGATAATACCACTAGGCCATTGCCTCCCCTGCTGCAGATGAGACTGAAGACGAGATGGACATCCTGTCTTAAGAGGGAAAGATGTGCTCATAATTATGGCCTACTGAGAATAGCAGTGATTACTGATTGGGTCTTGGTGTGGATTAGGACACAGGTGGCAGACTTTTGGATGAGCTAAATTTGCCTGGAGGGTGGAGAGGGTGACCAGTCACACATGAATTGGAGTGGGCTAAGTGGGAAGTAACACAAGTATTAATGTGGGCTTCTACAGCAAATGAACTGAATGAGGTAGAGTAGGTGGTCTTTGTGATTGAGGAGGTATGAAGCCTATGTTCAGTTCAGGATCAGATGTAATGCACAAGTGGCACATGGTCTGATTCATCCCAAAAGAGTGGAATTGGTGGCGAGGGTGTGGTTCTCAATATTTAAGAATTATGACAGTCTCATTCAGCTGAACAATGTGATGGGTGTATTGAGGAGGAGCTTATTGAAGCAGAATGGCGTGGGCAATCATGTCAAAGGCTGCTGAGAAGTTGAGAAGGATGGGGAGAGACAACGTTATGTTATGAAATGATGTCATTGTGACTTTGGCTAATGCCATTCCAGTGCTGTGGCATGATTTGAAGCTGATTAGAGGGGTTCAAGTATGGAGTTACAAGAATTATAGGCACAAATTTGGTAGATGAAACAGATTCAAGGACTTTAGACATGAAGTTTTGAGTAAAAGGATTTTTTTGTTTGCAATGTGGAGGCGTTGAAGATAGCAAATTTCAAAATTGGTAGGGCTCAGTGCCTGAGAGGGAATTATTTACAATGTTCACTAGCATGGGAATCAGGAAGTTGTATTGAATTGTTGTTTGAGAATTGGGTTTAAAAAGCTAGGATGGGTCAAATGGATGAAATAACATTGGAGCTACCTTGAAGGGTGATGAGAAAAACAGGAGAAAGCTGCAAGTTTAGTGCTAGTTTGGTTTGAAACTTTGTGTTAAACTGGATTTCGCAGATAACAGGAGGGAAGAGATGTGTTAGAGGCAGATGGATGGGTAGGCTTGAGTTTAGTGATGAAGGTGAGGATGGAAGATGACCAAGAGGGACTAAGAAGATGATTGGCAGTGGAGGAAAAACCTTTGCATTCCATTGGTATTGGAGAAGTGAGCAATTTTGCCTCGGGAAGCAGGGCCTAATTATATTTGAGGTGATCCAGCCTGAACGCATGATGAATGACCAGACAAGTTGTATGCAATTTACATGAATAGAAAGGTATTAATTAGTAGGGGGAGTAGGCCTTTAGCTTCTCCAGTCTGTCCTGCCATTTGATAAGGCCATAGGGGATCTGATTGCAATCTCAACTCGACTTTCCTCTCTATATCCCATACTCCTTTATTGAGCAAAAATGTATGTAGCTCGGCTTAGAAATATTGAATGACCCTGCTTCCACAGCTCTCTGGGGAAAGGAATTCCACAAATTAACTCTCCTCTGTGAGGGGAAAAATATCTCCTCTTCCTCTTAAATGGGAGACCCATTTAAGCAATCACCCCTAGTTCTGTTGTCCTTTTTGAAGGGTACGATTCTCTCACCATCAGAGGTCAGAAGGTGAATTCACCAGCCAATTAAATATGCTGGGTAGGTTTTTGAAGCTGGAAAGCTATCCAGAGGCCATCTGGCTTGAGGAGCAGGCTGCATTGGTAGGTATATAAAGGGGAGGGCACTTCGAAAGTAATTTCTTAAAAATTGCATTTAAACAAACGGATTTTGCACGCAGAACCCTAGTGGGTAGTGCTGCAACATTATACAGGCATGGCAGCCTCTAGTTCTGCCTGAGGTGTTGCCCCACATAGCCACATCGAAGCAGTTAGCTGGTCACTTGTCACTTGTGGGGATCTGGAGACCAACTGGAAACTCTGAGTTGACTACCTTGAATCGAACTTCATTTACCACTAATTGATTACCTTCCATTGTAAAGTCAGTAGTCCTGCTCTATCTCCACAACATTCCCACCTCCACGACGCCATTTCCACAAAAATCACTTGGTAGTGGAATGGAGCCTGGCAACTGATGGACACAAGTCAGCCTGCCTCTATTCTCAGGCTCGGCAGGTACTAAGAATCAAGCTCCGTGAGAATGGAGAGGTCAAACAAGAATGCAAGTTTGAGGAGTCGGCAGTGAGAATGGACAGGAGAATTTAAATGGTAGCAGAAGTTAAGGATTAGAGAAGATAGTGCAATCAGGAAGGGTGAATTGAGTTGGAGTTGAAATCACTAAGAATGAAGAATCAGAGAACTATATTAAAAAAAAAAAAATTCCCATTCAGCCCATCATATCTGTGCTGGCTGAATAAACTGGTTGTCCATTCTAATTCCACATACCAGCACCTGATCAAAAGCCTAACAGGTTGTACTGCTTCAGATTTAGTTCCAGTTCTGTTGAAATGTGTCAAAATTTTCCATCTCAACCATCAATCTAGGCAGCAAATTCCATACATTCACTACCCTCTGGATGAAAAGATTTTTCCTCATGTCCCCTCTAATCCTTATAGTGATCACCTTAAATCTGTGCCTCTTGGTAACCAATCTCTTTGTTACGGGAACAGATCATCCCTGTACACTCTATTCAGGCCTGTTATTATTTTGTACACCATGATTAAAGTCACCCCACAACTTTCTGTGTTCACAGGAAACAGAGCTAGCCTGTCCAGCCGTTTTTTGCACCTGTCATTTTCAAGCCCTGTTAGCATTCTTATCTACCTCTGTACTGGCTCTAGAGCAATTATGCCGCTGCTGTAAAGTGGTGACCAGAACTATACACAACTCCAGTTATAGCCTGATTAGTGTTTTATGTAATTCTAATATTACGTTTTTGCTCTTGTATTCGGTACCTCACCAAAAGAAGAAGAGCATCCCATATGCCTATTTTTTTAAACCCACCTTATCCACCTGTCTGCTGCTTTCATGGACCTTAGGACACACGGCCTCTAATTTCTTCTACCCTTTTCAATACCCTCTCATTTATTATGTTTTCCCTTGTTTTAATTGTCCTCCACAAATTCATAATATGCCCTTCTCTGGATTAAATTCCATTTGCCTCTTTGCCGTCCACTCAACCAAACTGTTGATATCTTCCTCCAGTCAATGCCATCATCTTCACTGACAACTGTCAGGCTAATTTTTGTGTTATCTGCACATTTCTCAATTATGCCTCCCACATTTAAGTCTAAAATTGTTAAAATATACCACAAACAGTAAGAAACCCAAAACTCAGTTCTATAGAACACCATTAGAAACTGCTTTCCATTCATAAAAATGCCTGTCAATCTGTTGACAGCTGAGCCGATTTTGCATCAGAATCACCATATTCCCTGTATCCCATGGGTTTTAATCTTAACAGTCTGTCATGTGGAACCTTGTCAGTTGCCTTAATAAAATCTATGAAGACAACATCTACTGCACTACCCTCAGACTGGCCTGTAGTTTCTTGACTTACCCGTTGCACATTTTTATGAATAATAGTACAATGTTCACAGAGCTCTTGTCCTCTGGTACCTTGCCTATATATATAGTAAGGATTGGAAGATAATCCACAGAGTATCCATTGTTTCCTCCTGGCCTTCATTTAATATCCTAGGATGCAGTTTATCTGCCCCTGGTGATTTATCCATCTTCATGAAGGTCACTCCTTCAGGGCGGTGCAATTGCACCATGCAGAGACTGAAGGAGGAATGGATGGAAGATATTTAAGCTAGAAATTGGCTGATTAGAAGGATTTTATAACTTTTTTTCCTCCTTCCTTGAGGTTTTAATTGTACATGTCAAATTTTACACTTCCTCCCCTAACATAATCAACATCTTTGAGGCAGGGTCACAAAAATTGGGATGGGTGACTTCCTGATCACTAAATAAAAAAGCAGTTCTGAAGAAAGGCCAATGGACCCAAAACGTAACACTGCTTTCTCTCTACAGATGTTGCCAGACCTCCTCAGTTGTCTCAGCAATTTTTGTTTTTGTCTTTCTGATCATCCCTGAGCTATCCCCCCCTCCCCATATTATGGTGGACAGGTAAGATACCAGCTAACCCAGTCACCCTTAGACTTAGAAAGCATCCCGGTTATTTTTAAATTCTAATTCCAGTAAATATC